GAGGAACCTCAGGGAGCTCAGAGGATTGCAAGGGCGATTAGCTTATATCCGTCGGTTCATTTCGAACCTCTCAGGAAAATGCCAACCATTATCCAGGCTTGCAAAGAAGGGCGTGTCCTTTGTATGGGATGACGCTTGTCAAAAAGCATTCGAGAGTATTAAAGAATATCTTTCGAAACCTCCTGTACTCGTTGCACCGAAATCGGGCAAACCGTTCTTGATTTACGTCAAGGCGACGAGCCACTCATTAAGTGCATTACTTGCACAAGATGACGATAACGGTCATGAGCAGGCAGTATATTATTTGAGCCGAACCATGGTAGGCGCCGAATCTCGATATCCTATGATTGAGAGAGAATGCCTCGCCTTGGTGTTCGCTATTCAGAAGATGCGGCATTATCTGGTCGGGCAGACCATTTATGTCATCTCTAAAGTTAATCCGGTTCGAGTATTCATGACTCAACCAGCTTCCATGAGCTGGCGATTAGCAAAATGGGCCTTACTCTTGTCCCAATACGACTTGCATTTCAAGCAACAGAAATCGGTCAAAGGACAGGCCATATGCGATCTCCTTGCAGATAATCCAACGACGGATACCGCCGAAATATATGACGGCTTACCGGATGAAACCCATGAAGTCAACGCAACTTCACACCAACAAATATGGCGCTTATACTTCGATGGCGCTTCACGGGCAACTAATGTTGCAAGTGCTCCTGGAAGTTCTAAAATCTCCTCCGGAGTTGGAGTAGTCTTAGTTTCCCCAGGAAAACATGTGATGCCTCGCGCCTACTCGCTAACCGAGCCATGCTCGAATAATGTAGCAGAGTATAACGCACTGATCATAGGACTCAACTTCGCTAAGGAGCTGGGGGTTGAGTATCTCGAAGCCTTCGGCGATTCTCAACTAATAGTCAAGCAAGTCCAAGGAGAATATGAAGTCCGAAGTCAGGATTTAATTCCATACCATAAGATGGCAGTGGAGATAGCGGAATCATTTGAAGGATTCTTCATCGAACATATTCCACGGCTACAGAATACCTATGCAGATGCGTTGGCCGCATTGGCCGTGTCACTAGCGCAGCCTCCCGAAACAGAGCAGTTTGTTACGGTAAGAACTCACCAACTCCTAGTGCCGCTTTACAGTGAAGATGCCGAGGAAGAAGAAGTTCAAGAGGTACACGCTACTCAAATCGAGTTCGAACCACGAGATTGGCGTTTCCCCATCATCGACTACGTCTTGCATGGAATCTTGCCAGAAGATGTGAAGGAAAGAGAGTCAATCCGGCGAAGAGCACCCAGATTCTACTACAATACAGAGAATCGAACGCTATACCGCAGGGGGTATGATGGGCTGCTATTGCGCTGCCTATCAACCAAAGAAGCTGAAGAGGTCCTTAGGGAAGCGCACGAAGGAGAGTGTGGCGCACACCAACCTGGTCCTAAGCTTTATGACCGCATCAGAAGAATGGGGTATTTCTGGCCTTCCATGATGAGTGATGCAACTACGTATGCCCGAAAGTGTGACGCATGTCAAATACACGGGAATTATGTACACCAACCTCCGGAGCACCTGCATCCGTCGGTTACGTCATGGCCGTTCGAGACTTGGGGAATGGACATTGTTGGTCCTATAAATCCTCCGTCAGTCAAAGGCGACCGGTTCATTTTGGCAATTACCGATTACTTCTCCAAATGGGCCGAAGCAATTCCACTCAGAGAAGTTAAGACGAGCAACGTCATTGGATTCATCAAGCACCACATCATCTATAGGTATGGTGTTCCAAGACGAATCATACATGACAACGGTCCTCAGTTTGTCAGCAACGCCTTCATAAGGTTCTGCGAAAAGTTTAAAATTCAGGACATCTCGTCGACGGCGTATAATCCTACAGCGAATGGATTAGCTGAAGCCTTCAACAAGACCATCATCAAACTCTTGTCAAAGATCGTGAAGACCAACAAACGAGACTGGAATGACAAGCTTGGCGCAGCTCTATGGGCCTATCGGACCACGGTGCGCACACCAACGGGAGCGACCCCGTATTCACTGGTATACGGATGTGAAGCTGTTCTTCCATTGGAGATCCAAATACCATCTCTTCGGATCGCTCTTTCAACCCAGATGTCGACCGAAGAACAACATCAGAAACGCCTCGAAGAACTCGAGAGGCTTGATGAAGAGCGCCTGGAAGCTCAACAACACATTGAATTTTACCAAGCTAGAATCTCTCGAGCCTTCGACAAAAAGGTTCGACAAAGGAGTTTCAAAGAAGGAGATTTGGTTCTAGCTGTGAAACGGCCTATGATCCTAAACTCCAAGAAGAAGGGTAAATTCGAACCCAAATGGGAAGGACCATTCGTAGTAGAGACAGTCTACTCGAGTGGCGCATATCGCCTCGTCACCAAAGACGGCGACCGGCTCATGATGCCGATAAACGGCAAATTCCTGAAAAGATACTATCCTTAGTATCTTTTTGGATAACCAATGCATCGGGAAGTTCCCGGAAGAATACCACATGGGTATTCTTAGGGATAACCCGGTCATTGTGGAATTGACGAATAAGAACTCTGCATTCGAACGCTGAAGGTCAGAATGTCTCTTCTTATTCCCATCAAATTCTCCAACTCTTATGAGTTATTCTTTTGTGAGATGAGATCTAATCCTCTTATGGGTTAATCTTTCCTCACCAAACCATCCGCTGATCAAATCAAACGACAGTGGACCCACCAACATTTCCATCTGCCAGTCATTGGCGTATCTCAAACTCCAGTTTGGTCAAACCTTCCTACAGTTAGGACCAAAGCCAAAATCCCCTCTCGATTCCTTCCATGAACGAGAGGTCCACTTGAAACAGTCAAACCTATAAAAGTTAGGATTGTTTCCGATCTCGCTTAGTCAAGCCTACACATGGTCAAGACTAAAGTCGAGTCACTCCTTTTCGATAAACGAAAATCCACCTTTGTCCCCTTTTTCCACCAAACCTATAAAAGTTAGGGTTGAAATTGGGTCTTCTCCTCAATGAATGAGGGGTTCTTTGGGTTCAAATGACCAATCCTATAAAAGGTAGTGTCGTTCGAACTTTTCCGATTCTCGGAGTGGAGATCCCACTCTTAGTTTCATCCTGCAGGATTCTGGGGGTGGAGATCCCACCTCGAGTTTCCTTTCCGCCTGAAGATAGAATATAAAATTCTTCCTCTTCGGCAACGGGAGATAGAATATAAAATTCTTCCTCTCTCGTTTCTTTTCCACCGGGAGATAGAATATAAAATTCTTCCTCTCCTCGGACCTTTCCGATGCTCGGAGTGGAGATCCCACTCCCAGTTCATCCTTCCAGATACTGGGGGTGGAGAATCCCACCTCGAGTTTCTTTTCCAGCTGAAGATAGAATATAAAATTCTTCCTCTTTAGCACCGGGAGATAGAATATAAAATTCTTCCTCTCCTCGGACCTTTCCGATGCTCGGAGTGGAGACCCCACTCCCAGTTCATCATTCCGGGTGCTCGGAGTGGAGATCCCATTCCCAGTTCATCCTTCCAGATACTGGGGGTGGAGAATCCCACCTCGAGTTTCTTTTCCAGCTGAAGATAGAATATAAAATTCTTCCTCTTTAGCACCGGGAGATAGAATATAAAATTCTTCCTCTCCTCGGACCTTTCCGATGCTCGGAGTGGAGATCCCACTCCCAGTTCATCCTTCCAGATACTGGGGGTGGAGAATCCCACCTCGAGTTTCTTTTCCAGCTGAAGATAGAATATAAAATTCTTCCTCTTTAGCACCGGGAGATAGAATATAAAATTCTTCCTCTCCTATTTTGACACAACTTTCAACTTCCAATCCGCGCACTTGGTGCATGGGGAATTTTATCCCGAATCCTAAGTAGGGATAAGTCAACACCTAACACGTGTTGCCGGGTAGCCTATTCCCGTAACAAGGGCAAAGTCTACGTATTCAAAGTCGTAGCATTAAGTCTAAGGGAGTTCATTCCTTTAGCATAACGTTACATGCGGAACGGATTTCAACAATCCGCATGCTAGCCCGATTCGAACGGTAATCGGTAAAGGCGTATCAAACCCGTTGAAGGCTGGGGGTTTGCCAAAAACCCCAAAGTCAACGCCTAACACGCGTTGCCGGGTAGTCTATTCCCGTAAGAAAGACGAAGTCTATGTATTCAAAGTCATAGCATCAAGTCTAAGAAAAGCAATTTTCTTAGCACAACGTTACATGCGGAACGGATTTCGACAATCCGCATGCTAGCCCGATTCAAACGGTAATCGGTAAAGGCACATCAAACCCGTTGATGGCTGGGGGTTTGCCAAAAATCCCATAAAATCTGTCATTCAGAAGAAATACAGACAAATCACAAGAAAGAAGCAAATGCGGAGTTTCTATTAATAGGTCAAGTCAAAAGCATACAACAAAGAGCTCATTAGCCCGAAGGCAACTGACGGCTAAGAATATGAGACTTTAAGCTAAAAAGTCTATCTGCATAACTCTGCTCAAGTCCCGCCTGCAGATCTGCTCGGGCAGATTCCTCAGAACAGCTCAAGATCTCCGCAGCTTCACTCTTCAACTTCATCAATCCCTCCTGAGTGGATCCGAACTCCTCGAGTACCCGGTCACGAGAACGCTCTAGGAGGAGTACGATGTCCCTAAATCGTATGCGTACCTGCAAGTCCGTCACTCCGAGGTAAGCTAGATATGCCGGGAATCGATATTGGGTTAATCCCAATGACTGGCGCTGTAATATTAATCCTTCGTTAGTCAGACAAAAGATCAGGCAAGATGAAGGGAATCAGATATATACCTGTGAATGAATCACTCTCAAAGGGTGGTCCCACGGTTCTTCTGGTGGCCTGCTCAGCCAACATATCGGCTAATAATCCAGCGTCGGGTTTCGAGAAACTTGGTACAGGAGCACACCCATGTTCCTCGAAACCTACATCATGATAGGCTCCATCCTCAACTGGCTTTTCCATCGCGACATCTGCAGGACAACCTAAATGTTGGAGATATGTATAAGAAGATAAGGAAGAAGGGAAAGCTCAGAAATACCTGCAGCAAGAACAGAAGATTCTCTTTCCCCATGTTTGAGGAGGGTATCATCGGATGTAGATATACCTGAATATGGAACGGTGGGCTCAACACTATTCACCTGTCCAAGATCAATGTTTAGATCGATACCCAGAGAACCGTCACGAAGGGCGTCGCACATCTGCTCCATGAAGCTATCCATATTATCAGAACCAGTGAATACGGGAGACAATGGGAGTTCGCCCTCTTCAAAGAACCCTGGAACATAAAACATGATTACGAATCCCAGAAGGTAAGTCATCTTAAAGCAATGAAAACGACGAAGTATTACCTTCCTCCCTGTCGGCGAAGTCTCCTAAATCCACTTCATAGGAGCGTTGACCAACGTGTGGTTTATGAGCGATCTTTTTCTTTTTCGGAATATCACCCCTCATAGAACCAACGGGTCGTTCGTGCGTGGACTGGCCACGTGTATCAACCTGGGTAGGAGCTTGGCCACCAGGCCTGAATCTCGCACGACGGGAAGCGAGCGACTCATGGTCGTCGGCTGTCCTACCTGAAATGATAAGGATTATTTCATTAAATGAACCAGATCTTTCGTTGATATCAATTGAAGTTGAGAAAGAGGATCAAAGAGTATGACAAACCTGCATCAAGTTCTTCTTGGTCGATATCTATATCCACATACTCCTCCTCAGAAGTCTCGTCACCATCGTCAGTAGGAAGGAGCTCTTCATCGTTTTTGCTTGAGAGAGGAGGGTTGGCAGACTTCTCCTTCTGTTTCTGAGCAAGCTCGGCTTTACGAGCAGCCATCATAGCGACCTGGACCGAGTGCTCAGACTCTAACTCTGAAAGACTCCTCACACCTATGGATTCATTGGCGGAGAGGAACCACTTACAACTGAGGAAAGTAATCATCGGCTTGCGCCTATATGAAGGAAGAGCAAAGTGGGCTCCGGTGCAGCCCACCATAGTCCATAGCCATGCCCGTAGGCCATCAATAAGCCCCCCCTCAACCTTCAAACCACGGCTCGGATTCCAAACATATAGTTGGTCGTAACCGAACTAACGAGCAAAACGGCAAGGAAGGTAAGGCTCTATGTGGCAATGATTCTTCACCCGGAGAACGAGATACCCAACACGGATGTTCACTAACCAGCGGAAACAACCAACGTCGAGAGCAGTCCGATTAGTTCTGGGTTTCTCCTCATCAGTCAGCACATCACCATAGCGACCCGAAAAGTGGGGAAAACACTTGAAGAACTCCCAGCTCTTGCGAACTTGAAGCTCTCGTTGTGCATCGCCGAATTTCTTCCCGAGCCATCTGCTCCTCTCCAACAGCTGCACGAAAGGAACAGGGACATCAACAACGCTGGGCGCCGACATCAAGTCAGGACGGTGAAGAATGAGCCACGCCATCAGATACGCATGAGGAAGCTCGACCTTCGGACAAGTAAGCTCGGTCGATGGTTTAGAACCCACCTGTGTAAAACCACTGACCACATACCTAAGCCCGCAATGGATGCCGGCAACCATCGCTGGGAGCAGTGAAAGCTCCCTCCCATAAGCTAGCTGAACTGCGGGGAAGAGCACCTCGAGAGGTAAGGCGTCTAAAGACCGGTACGGAACAACACACTTCTTCAACCAGAGGGCAAGGTAGCCTGCTAGCAGAGTCCGGGGCTCAATGGACTTCTGTGCACGGCGGAGGAACGAACGAAACTTGGTTCCTGCAGGAAAAGCTCCCTCAACACGGGCAATGGTGTAAGAATGAGCCTCAGCCTTTTCCATCAACTCATTAATGGCGGTAGGGGTCAGGACATCTAACTCACGAAGGGGCTCGCCGTAGTCACCCTCCAAATTAGGGAACAGATAGACAGCAAACTGCTTTAAGCTGATTTGCCTTTTCTTCTTCGCTGGAGGAGAAATCTTGATCAAGGAGGTATAATAATGACAAGTGATGTCCCAAAGAGTATCATGCATGTCGGGAGTATCCTTCTTCAACCACCCCAACTGCTGGTTCGAGGGAAAGTACTCCTGATATGGACAATCCCCCATTGGAAGACCAGAAACCTGATACATCTCATGTAAGGCCAACCCTAACTCTCCGCCGCTGGTCATGAACGTGTTACTGTCGGGCATGTATGTCTCCAACAATGCCAAGAAATGGCGGCAGCTGACCGGAAGTCCGTACATGGTGGCCCGTATAGGTGCATACAATCCTCTGCTCTTCAAATCCTTCTCCCAGCGCCCCAAGACGTAACTGGTCATGCGTGTCCACCACCCCTTGGGCAGTGAGAAAGCCCAACCATAGCATCTATAATCTGGTGGAGGTAATCTCCTCCCAAGATGAGCCAGACGGTTCTTCACGGTAGGAGCGGCTGCTGATACCTCGCCTGGGGGTGCAGTATTAAGACCCGTAATCCCTGGACTGAACTCGCTCAGCATCATAGGTAAGAGGCCAAGACATATGTCGCTCCACGGCCTGTCCCTCCAAATGAGTGAAAGAATACTGACGAGGAATGGAGGGAATATACAGGAGAGCTCCCTCATGAAGATTCAGCCAATGCTCATCGGTAAGAGTCAACGTAGCAGGATCCTCCGCGTGATCACCGAACAGAAAACCGGGCTTCTTTAAAGTCTGAGTGGAAGTAGAATCTGCAGTGAAGGAGGCGTCCGTAATCAGCTGGCGTAAGCAATGACGCCCTCCATCCCGTATCAAACGACAGGATTCGTCGGAGCGATCTCTGTCAAACTGAGGGAGTGGACTAACGGCCTGCCTGATGGAAGCTGAAGAGAAGACCTCCCGGCTACAACCAGTATTAGCATGAGGAGGAAGGCTGCCCGCGGGGAACTCGACTGCAACAAAACACAAGGATAGAGTCAGAAAGCTCATAAAAAGCGAGATAAGATCAGTCACGGGATAATTGGAGAGACGATTTTGAGTGTCCTACACTGGAAGAACGGTATGCATCATCACGTAAATAACGTGGTAACATACACCGACCTATAAGGGGTAGGACGACACAAAATCGCCCCAATATACCAGAAGACTTGAATTAGCCAAGCAAGGCAAGTCTGAAACCTCAACCCTCGCGAAGGAGGGTGTCGGCCCTTCCCGAATGACCCGCGAAGGGGCCAAACGAGGGTATGACAAAATCACCAAGTCCGAAACCTCGACCCCCGCGAAGGAGGGTGTCGGCCCTTCCCGAATGACCCGCGAAGGGGCCAAACGAGGGTATAACAGAACCACCAAGTCCGAAACCTCGACCCCCGCGAAGGAGGGTGTCGGTTCTTCCTTCATGACCCGCGAGGGGATCAATCGGGGATACAAAAATAAAAAAATTCCCACCCCCGAAAAAGGAAGCTGCTGGAGGGAAGGATGTTGTAGGAACTTCTTCCACGCTAGGCTGCGAACGGGAGCGACTCCTAGGAGGTCGAGGTCGACGTGGAGACATCGAAAATCTGCAATGAAAAGCAGTAAGTTAGGTACAATATGAATACGCGAAATTTAAAAGGGAAATTAAGAACTTTAATTAAAATCCTATGTATAAATAGGATTTTATAGTTGAAGTCTAATTAAACCTACAAATTTCGTGCATGCAAAACAATGATCATGATAAATTTCGGTGAAATACCCAAAATACCCCTCGTATTCAAGGCTAAAAATACCCAAAATACCCTTCGTGTTCAAGGCTAAATTCGGGTCAAGGACACGCTCGAGTTGGGTCATGGTCATCATACCTGATCACATAGCACCCCCAGTACCCCACAATTTTGGTTAATCTTACACATAACACCCTTTTGTAAAATTTAGCCAATTTTGCAAAAAAAAGCCCTCCAAATTTCAGCCATATTTTTACACATAAGGCCTTCAAATTTCAGCCCTCTTTTGCACATAAGGCCTTCAAATTTCAGCCCTCTTTCGCACATAAGGCCTTCAAATTTCAGCCCTCTTTCGCACATAAGGCCTTCAAATTTCAGCCCTCTTTTGCATATAACCCCCTCAAAGTTCAATCCCAAATTTGCACATACACCCCCGAAAATTTCAGCCTCAAATTTGCACAAAAAACCCCCCAAATTCGGTCAATTTCTCAAATTCCATACCCAAATTCGGTTTTTCTTCCAAGATTAAAGAGCTAGAGTTGAAATTATCAAGCCATGAACATAACCAATCAAAAAATTCGGCCATTCATGTGCATGGAATTAAGAAAGCATTGAAATCAAAAGTAAGGGAATACATATCCTAATTTTCGGCCAACTTTCAAGAATCAAAAATCAAGATTTGATTTTTCCCTAAATCAAAAAATTAGGGTTTTGAAATTTGGAGGATTCAAGAGAAATGAATCAATCTAAAGCATGAAGGAAAGAAGATCTTACCAAAGCTTGGAGAATCCTTGAAGAGGAGACTTTGTTGTTGATGAAGATCCTCCAAACCCAACTTTCTTTGCTTGAAGCTTTGGAGAGGATGAGGGAAAGATGAAGCTTTGAAGAGTTTAGAAGGCTTGAAGAAGAAGAGGATGAAGTCCTTGGAGAAGGAGAGCGCAAAACCGAAGTTGAAGGGGGGAGTTCTCTGTTTTCAAAACCGAAAAAAAATGAGGGGGGGCGGATTTTGTTTGCTGGAATCGAACGGGAGAGGAGAAGGAAGTTTAGCTTTTATATTGGGGATCTTGGGTTGGACCGAACCCATATGAACCAAGCCCACATGACCCGAACCAACTCAAACAAGCATGAACCGAACCGGATTGAATCTTTTTTTTCATGGTTCACACGCGTATGAGATGTTTTTTTTTACGACGTATTCAACACTCGTATCTATACTCCAATGAGAATACGAGTCTAAACTATTTCTCACAATTGACGGGAAGTTTCTGGAAAATATTATGTATAATATTCTTAAGGATAACCCGTCAACCTCCGACGGGTACACGAGGCTAAACTAATTCCCGAAACTCCCAGGAGTACACGAGTATAAACTGGTTCTCCTCAGGTTGATTCGAAACCCTAGGGTCAACACCGGTCAACGCGTAACCCTAGGTCAACGCCAGTCAACGCGTTGCGACAAAAAATCAATATTCGACGTTCGAAACCCTAGGGTCAACGCCGGTCAACGCGTAACCCTAGGTCAACGCCCTTCAACGCGTTGCGACATTCGAAACCCCAGGGTCAACGCCGGTCAACGCGTAACCCTAGGTCAACGCCCTTCAACGCGTTGCGACATTCGAAACCCTAGGGTCAATGCCGGTCAATGCGTAACCCTAGGTCAACACCAGTCAACGCGTTGTAACAAAAAGTCAACGTTCGACGTTCAAAACCCTAGGGCCAACGCCGGTCAAATCCTAGGTCAACGCCAGTCAACGCGTTGCGACAAGAAGTCAACATACGGTGATCTGAAACCCTAAGTCAGCACAATATGACAGAGATAGTCAGTTCAAAGTCAACTCAATGACACAAGCCAAACTCGACTCACTAGTGGTAGACTCGAGACTCCGACGACGACCAGGCGATAAACGCAGCGCCGGAAGAACTTCGGTTATTCGTCAAAGCATCGAATAGACCGAAAATCGAAGGAGCCAAGAGTTGAAGCTAACTACAGGTCCTTTACGCCGACTGAAGGCTGGACCAATCACATCCAAAGTATTCTAGCCTCTTCTATAAAAGAAACGAGTCCGGAACACTTTGGAGGGGGTATCTGTAGGCATCGAAAATTGCCTATAGGTCTCCACAAACGGTTCAGTGTTAAAAAACGACGATGAACGTCACCATCCGATCCACATGAGCCTAATCGACGTCGATGAATGACTGAAGTGAATCGACGAGTTACGTGAGCGGATAGAACTTCAGAATCACGAAGACCCGGACCAATCGGGAAACCCGGCACTGTTCACAAAAAGACAACGCCCCTCGTGCCTCGACCACTAATCCAACCATCGGGGCTGATAGAACTCTTCGTCAGACTTCCAACGCACTTCGAATCACTAAAATCC